TTTGTTTGTTTACTTCCAGTAATAGCCTTTTGCTCATCAGCCATGCCAGCTTTTTTCCCCTTTTCTCAGGCCTTTCCTAATAGGCGATATCTGCCAATACTGTACTTGGGCATGGGATATCCTTCAGCAGTCTGCATGCTTCTTATAAGGATTTCATTTTCTTAATTGCTCCTTCTTTTGAACAAGCTTCTTCGTTTTTTCTCTTTTTGAAATGTATCATAGCTGTGGTGCGTTTGCTTTTGTTCACATGGTAGTGTTGACTCTAAGTGTATTACACACACTGTTACATAGTGTTCCTGTTATGAAATTTTGAATCTGATCTTGCTCATCAGTCAGTACCAAATCAAGGGTTGCCTTTCTTCCTACTGAGCAATTGGTTAGCAAGCTCATGAGATGTCCAGTGATAGCATCTAAAAATGTCATCCCTGCTTCATGTCCTGATATGACACTTGTCTGGTCTGAGTGGGTAATGGAAGATACACTAAAATTGTACATCCTGCTCTTGTAGCCTGATTGATCTCTCTCAGCATGTTGTGGTCAGGATTGTCTTCTATTAATATTGACCCAGCACTGTATTTTTTTCAAGTATGGAATTTCAGTCCATTTGAATTCTCTTTCTTATTGAGATGAGTTTTTATTTGATCCTAAGCTTTCTAACAGGGTATTAGTGTTCTGTGACTGCCACAGTTACCCTATGTTCTGTGTATTTTGTAGCCTGTTACTGTCACTTCACATGGATTTATTAGGTATGTGGGAAATGTTGTGGAAGAATCTGTGACTTCATTTAGGGGCAGAAATTCCATTGTTCCTATCTTGTTTCAGAGACTTCTCATGTGTGCTGGAACTGCTGTTTTAGTTCATTTCTGGGCATCTTATTAAAATGACAGTTTACTTAATCTTCTGTTTTCTAGTTGATGATTACTATTCTCTGACCATCCTATACTTCAGGATAGGAATTTTGTGTCTGTCTCTAAATAAAAAAATGTTGTGCCTTTCTTCTTAAGACATTCCAAACAGAATGTATCTGGAATGTGGTTTTGAAGGAATTTGTTAGCTTTTCACGTTCCTCAGTTTAAAAGCTAATTTGGAAATTCCGTGATTTAAAAGTAGCATTAGTTTCGTTTTCTCAAACTATACATTTATGTAAATACATAGCATAGTGCACTAGATAGGATCTTTAGAATAAACCAGTTGGTACTGAGGGCCTAGCAGACATTTGATACGTATTTGGAGATTTTTGCTTTGCATTAACTTGTTTGATCCTCTCTGCTAAATTCCCGTTAGCAGATGAGATAGTTTGGCATGCTCCTTCAGCATGTTTGCTGGATGCATTTAATCTAAAAATAATTGAGTTCTTGCAAGGCAAACTAAAACATACTAAGTGGGAATTATCAAGAGATTCACGTGAAAGAGATGCTCCTGAGCCTAATTGAAAGGCTAGTGTACATTTACAGTTCAGATGAAGGCCATCCACCTTATACAGGTTCTCTTTATTCTGAAAGTATCCTCAATTCCTGATGAATCTGAAACTTTCCTGTCACAGTTTTTTCAGACAGGTATTTAAGTCCTGGGTCTACCTTTCGTCTTGGACTTGCATCAGTACTAGCAGAGCTTGAGAGAATTAAACACATAGTACTTGTCTTAAAATAGTGATAACATATATTGCAAATACATCTTTTATGTGAAAGGGGCTTAGGCCTTCAGCACGATAAATGTTAACATTTCTGTTGGTTGTGCCTGGGGGAAGAATTAGAGCACATTTTGCCTAGATGAATTTTGCTTCATCTCATTTGTGCAATATTTAAATTATGGCAATTTAATAATAAATATTAAAACAGATAGGATTCTTGTTAGTGCAGTAATCATGAGAAGTGTCCATGTTACTCTAAAGATCTAATATCCAACTTCTGCAAGAGATTGTTCAGCAACATGGATCAGGATTGCTACCCAAAATAAGTGAGTTATCTGCTTGTACTGCATCTTAGCTAGTGATTCCTATTTGCCACTTAAAATGGAATATGTAATCTGAGTGTAATTTTTAAACTGAGTCTAGAACATAAATTGCATAAAATATAGCAGCACAAGTTCCTGTTTTCTTTTAAGATCATGTCATTAACTGTTTATCTGTAAAAACTTGTTTTCTAAATTAGCCACAGCCCCTGTATGTGCTTCCCTCATGTGGGCTGTGTAGGTGTACCAAGATCAGCAGATCTAAGTACAGGAGTATATGTAGTATATGAAGGTCAAAAGCTGAATGTGTAAGAGCTATTCTTCATCTCCCAGGCAAAGATTATAACCTGGTTGGAGCAGTGTTGAATCTAGCCCACAGGTTGAACAGCCTGTGTGGAACCCGCAGGCCATAGTTCAGCACTGCTGGGTCAACCCTAGTGGTGTCAGGACATTACACCTACTTTCCAGTCTTGAGATAGCATTATCCTTGCAATTAAACTGGGTGGAGTAGGCAAGTGTTTGCTTGTAATCTTCTAATATGAATACAATAAGAATCTTTCTCAAGCTTATAAACCTAAAAATGCTATTTTCTTGGTTTTGTACAGATAATTGATTATGAGAAGAATCAGACGCTAGGACAGAATGACACCGGATTTAGTTGTGATGGAACAGCCAGTACGTTCAGAGTTATGTTCAAAGAACCTATAGAGATTTTGCCAACAGTTTGCTACACAGCTTGTGCAACGTTGAAAGTAAGAATGTCTAACAGTACAGAAGAAAAATGTTACTTTGGTGCAACAGTTGTTCTTTTCTGGCTCTTCTGATGGGAAAGTGACTTCTAGATCTTTGATTTATTTTTAGTGCTAAAGAAAGATATAGTTAAACTCCACAGTAACTTTTAAGACTGCTGTCGCTTTTCTGTGCCACAGAACAGAATGTGCCTTCCCACTTTCTGGCTGATGTAAGTTAGAATGAGTCCTAATGGGAGTCAATGGTTCTGTGTGGGCAAAAGCGCTATCTAGAATGTGTAATCTGGCAGCTCTCTGTGAAAAAATAAGTTTTAATTTCTTTTATTGAGCATATTCTAACCAGTATAGCTACAGAAAACTAAAAGGTTTGGGTTTTTTTAATTGCCATTTTTGTCACTTTTTATATACTAGCGCTTCAGTATAGGAAAGAATAATTTGTTCTAGAAAAGTATCCCTTTAATGTTATGGATAAATCTATTTATTCAGTGTTTACTCAAAAGTCTTTTAATACTCCTTTAAATATAATTCCCCATATGGGAATCAAAATTTATTTATTACTAGTTGGATAAAATCAAGTGGTTTAAGTCTACTGTCAGAGAATTTTTTTGTTATTTAGACATAGTGTACTCACTTGTGTTATCTGTGATTTTGTATGTGACTTATATGATGTGGGTACAGACATTTTTACTGTTAAAATATCCTAACTCAGTAGTGTTTGAACTTCAATATTTTATGGGTCTTGCTGCCTGCTTCCATTCGGTTGCTGATCTCTTCTGATGTTTTTCAGGGTCCCGATTCCCACTATGGAACAAAAGGCTTGAAGAAAGTGATCCATGAATCTCCTACTGCTAGTAAAACCTGCTTTGTCTTTTATAGTTCACCGGGTAACAACAATGGTACATCAATAGAAGATGGACAGATACCAGAAATAATATTTTATACATAACTTCACATGCTCATCTCAAATGTGTTAGTGTATCAGTGGACTTCAGCTCACTGTTGGCAGCAGTTAAAAAATTATGCTGAATTACGTGAATGTGAGAACAAAACTTGTTTGAGAGGTACCAGAAAAGCTGATCTGTCTGCATAATTCTTGGCAGAATGTAATTTAGCTTTTCCTCTTGACAAAACAGCAAGTGGAATAAGTACTCTGCATATTGTTTTAAATAGTATTTTGTGATTAATTTCTTTGTATTTCCATCCCTGTAGTAAAATGTAGTAAAATTCTTTTTTTCTTGGGATTTTTTTTTTGTTTTTTTTTTTTGACTGGAAAATCCTTATTCATGATGAACTCCTTGTGTATGTTATCCCCAACCTGTCCTAAAACGACAGTAAAGTTGCTGCTGTAGTCCCAGCTTATACTTCTTCACAGTATGACCTCAGAATGACTGTATGGACGTGAATTGCTACTATTTGTTTTGGGGTTTTTTTGTGTGTTTGGTTTTTTTTTTGTTCTTTTGGGGTGGGTTGTTTGGGGTTGTTTTGGGTTTTTTTAATTAATTTTTTTGTTGGTTTTTTTTTTTGTTGGGTTTGGTTTTTGGGGTTTGGTGTTTTGTTGGTCTTTTTTTTTTTTGGAAGTGCATCAGCAAGGCTGATTTTGTTGTTTTGGACGAGCCATCGAGAACTAATGGACTCAGCATACTACTGAAGAAATCCCAAGTCAAATTCAGCAACAACCAAGTCGGTCCAGAATCTCTCTTAATTCAGAAGGGCTGTTTTGGAACACAGAGCTGGTTATGGAAATAGCCATTGTATATACATATGTGCCTACCGGAAAATGTATAGTGTGAAAATGAGAAAACAAGACTTTTGCTGATGATATTTTATCACTGGGCATTCTAATACTAAAAAAAATAGTACAAACTAAGAATTATTTGTGTGCAACTAGTTTTGCAGATTGCATATGATAATTTGATGTCATTGATGTATATATATAGATCCAGTGTCTTTCAATATGTACTGTGTTGTAGTAGAATGTCTCTCAATGTACAAAATGTTGTACCCTTCCCCGAATTACACTAAAGTCAGCATTTGAGACCACAGGAGGAAAAAACCTAAACCTCTCCCTGTTTCTCTTCCCTGATTTCTCTCTAAGTGCGTGCTCCAGGTCTCTAGGTCTCAAACCACGGTCTTTACACCACGCCCTGTGTTTGGTACCAGCTGCTGTGCACAGGTTTTGCACTCTCTTCTCCCAAGCGGAGCTTTTTCCGCTCGGTGGCCATAGAGTGCGGTTGCGGGTGGGCACACGGCCGAGGTCAGCGGCCCGCTCCGCCCCGTGCCGCCCTCGGAGCAGCGGGAGGTGCTGGCGCGGCGCAGGCGGGGCCGGGGCGGAGCGCGCTGGTGTTGCCGGAAAGGCCCCGCCGATCTATGTCGGCCCTTGCCGGCTTCCGTCGGCTGCCGGTGCGGGGCGGCGGCGGGGCCATGCCCCGAAAGGTGTGTGCGGGCGGGCGGGCGAGCGAGCCCTAGCGCGGGGAGCGGGCGGGAGGCGCCCGCGGTGACCGCGTTTGTTCCCTTTCAGGGCAAAGGAGCCGGGAAGGGGCCGGCGGAACCGGGCGCCGCCGCGGGGCCGGTGGCGGCAGCGGGTGACGGCTGCGTGAGGGTGGCGGTTCGCGCCAAGCCCGGCGCCAGGAGCAGCGGCGTCACAGGTGGGTGCTGCCTGCCCTGCTGAGGCGCGGGAGCCGGCGGGACACGGGGCCGTGGGCAGAGGTGGGCGCGCAGGGCCTGAGGTGCTGCGGCCGCCTCGTGTGAGGAGCGCGGCCGGAGCGGGAGAGCTTCGTGTAACGAGTGCGTTAACGAGGTCCGTGGTTTACCGCTGTTCCCTCAGGTGTGCGGGGAAAAAGTCGCTAGAAAACGGAAGTAGTGATTTCACGCTTAGGAGCCCGGAGTGGCTCTTTCACGTTCCCGGTCAGGCCTCGCTAGGTGGTGCAGTGAGCACGGTGTGAGTTCTTACTCCTTTTTGAGATGAGGAGCGCACTCGGTCAGCATCGCAGTCCATGTGTAATGTGCATGCGATTTGTACTTCAAGAGGCTGTGGGTTTTATTTGAACGATAAAAGCGTAATCTAATAAATGCGCCCTCCCTCTACAAATCTGGGCTTCCTCATGTACAAATCAGAGCTGGTTTTTGTTGAAGTGTGTGTATGAAACAAGTTGGGCTGCAGGAGAGTATCCAGGCTCAGGCGGCAATGCAGGGACGCTGTGGGTGATGCCATAGCTCTCTGGGTGGGTTTATCATGGCTTTTGGTGGGGTAACTTGTTTTGTGTGATGCTACACGATGCCAAGCTGGACTACACCTGCATCAGAATGGGGAACAGAGGGGCTTAAAACAGTGCCCTGGTTGTGTGAAAACTGGTACGTAATGGCTGAGCTCTGGTACAGGTCTGCAGTCTTTCTTCTTTGTATCACGTCATCACCTTTGTAGTGGCTAATGTATTTAAGGGAATTTGTGAAGAGTAAAAATGGTATGCTAATCTGTAAATTTATTTGGGTTTAAATTAAAATGCTTTCAAAACCATAAACATATTTAGGAGACAATAGCTAGATGTTTTTAATATTTTGAGCACTAAATTCTTAAATTACTTATTACAGATGTGACGGCAGAGGCAGTAGGTATAGCTATTGCTGCACCTCCATCAGATGGGGAGGCCAATGCAGAGCTGTGTCGCTACCTCTCGAAGGTGCTAGAAGTGAAGAAGAGTGAAGTTACATTAGAGAAGGTATTTGCTTTCTTTTCTTTCAGTCTTGCCTTGCTGCAGTTTAAATTTGATATTTTGAAACTTACTCATCCAGTACAGGAAGCTGCTCTCCAAGTTCAGTGAAAAAGATACTTTAAAAGTGTGTTATTCATTGAGAACAAACCTAATGTAGGAGGGACCACAGCTGATTTGGGATATTTAATCACCATAGTTCTCATTGTGATAGATTTTCCATATCTGTGTAGTTCATGTTTTTTTGTGTTACTTCTAAGATCCTCTTGTTTTCATGTTAAATGCAGTTCACAAAACTTGTGCTTTGCAGAGAATGTGCATTTTATTAATTTCTTTAAGTTACTTCTGTATTTGAGTGAAAATGTTATTACAACTGTCACACATAAGCAAGGGCATATGTAAGCACTTGGGTTATAGCTGGGCCTCAAGGGTTTCTTTGTGTCAGAATTTACATGACTTGGCAAGTGAAAGCTCTTTGTTTTATTCATTGCACTGAATAACTAATTTGTTTTATTAATTCATTGTACTTGCAGTCAGTCTTTCCAGCCATATTCATTTATACTTTATGACCATTAGAGCACAATGAAAAATTGTGCTTTTTATTTTTTGTCTGTTGGTTTAAGGTAGTAGTTGAAGTCTGTCAAAAGTAGCTAATAATCTGAGAGGGATAACTCTGAAGAAAGATCAGAAAGTACACAGTTATCAAATATATCAATATACCCACTTTTTAAAAACAAAAATGCAAATTAGTTGGCATCTTGCTTCTAGATGATACAAGTAAATTACAGAAACTTAGCACTCCTTGCTTTTTGCCTCTAAGAAGAGCATCAATCCAGGGCATGATCTGGGAGCTGTATCCAGTTTTAAAAGGAGAGTAGATAAGACATTGTTTTCCATCTTCCAAATAATTAGAAAGGCCATCGATGAGTTCTCACTTACTGCTGTTAATTCTGCGTATCCCCACTTTCAGAATTATTTTTAAAGTACCTGGTATGTTGGTGTTACAGTGAGATTTTTTTTTTGCTATGTGTATTTTGCGGTGATTCTCTGAAAGTTGTTTTTTTGTATGTGTGTCTAACCCAGGGTGGTAAATCACGTGAAAAAGTGGTGAAGATTGTGGTATCGATGACACCAGATGAGGTTTTAGAAAAACTGAAAAAAGAAGCTTCCAGTTGACCTAAAACAAGAGTGGGAAATAGGAAAATGCATCTTGGTAAATGGACTGACACTATTTCTGATGTAAATCTTGTCCTATTGAGAATGTGGGTAATGACTAGGGAAGAACACTTCTTCCTCCCGCCCCCCCAATACAGCTGCTGCAGTTTTGTGTGGGTTTGGTTAGCAAAACTTGTCTTTACTGAGGCTGTTTCTGCTTCTGTTGCTACAGTCTTTTTTTTTTTTTTTCCTCTGGAGTTTCCTGTTGGAAAGATTTGTCCTCTTTCTGGTTTAGAAAAGTTGTTTCTTGGTGAAGCAAACTTTGGTTAACATAGTGAGAGGCTTGCACTGATAAGCTTCGTGAGTTTTCATGAGGATGAGTCTGTCTGATGGTAAAGACCCTAGAGGAATGTTCTCTTCAGTACCAAGCAGCAAGTACTGGGTGCAGTTTTGCACTACATGTGTGCGCATACATCTAAAACAGATGTATTTGAAGCCAATAAGCTGCTGTTGATCACACAGGTAAGCTAAAAGCAGAATCACCTGAACAACTGAAACCAAACCAGAAGTTTGCAATATGAAAACCTGATGCAGAGCCTGGTAACTGCACACAGGAGGCCACTTTGGAATGGTCTCTAATTAGTTTCCTGAAAAGTAAGAGATACAGTCATGTGTCTTTGCCAAATGTATGTCAAGTGTAATGACTGTTTTTAATAAAAGGAGTGAAAAAATATTATCAAACTCTTTTGTGTGTTTATATTAAAAAAAAAAATTATTTCCTCAAAGTTGTTTATTAGAGTCTTATTTTTAAACAGGTTTTTTTTGCAATCAATCTTTGGTTTAAAAATTAGTAGTATTCCAGCTCACAGAGAACTGAGCAGTCATCTGTAGAACAGAACAAGAAGTCTGAAAGAAAATGGGCAACTATATTCCAGTCTTCCTGCTAATGAGAACAAGTAAGAAGAAATTTAACTTCTCTCCTTATCATGCTTCAGAGGTCAGAGTAAGCTTTAACTAGTGTTAAAACATAAGTGATATTTGCTTGTTCATCTGCATCACTGCTGATATCTGAAGTTGTCCTATCTACTGTGGTTGTAATTTAAAAATATAAAAATATAATACATAAAGTAAAAAACTTCTCTGAACATTTGATTACTTTCTCCTGGAAAACAATGTGTTATGTATGCGTAAGTTCCAGCTAAATTTCTGTACCAGCTTTTTCATACAGTGCAGGCTTCATAGTTCACTATTTTTTTCTGGACAAAGATCTTTTGCTTCAAGAAATTCTTTTGCTTCCTGTTATCCTAAATATTGCAACAATTGGTTTTAGCCTGGGAGAATTGGTGCTTGTCAAGATGACAACTCCTTCAAGGTGACTCATTTTGAAGATGCTTTGAAAAATATCACCTCCTTGTTTGGAGAACCAAGTCTAAATTGTGAATGCTGTTTGCTTAATGGTCTACATCTGGGCTCTTTATTTTCTCAGGTTTTTGGTCAGCCACACATTTCCTTGGGTGCCCTTTTTGCTTATCCTCTTTAGTCTGTACAGGCTGGTTTTGTTTTACTGTGCAGTCAGTTTTGGTTCACTGCTCCTTGCTGCTTTGTCTGTTCTTGCCCAGCAGAGGGGTACCGTGTCTTACAGAAAAATTAAGGCAAAGCAAGCTAAACTAAGTGCTCATGGATGGGTTGTTGGTTGTTTTTGTTTTGTTTGTTTTGTTTTATTTCCTAAACTTACTTTTAATTCGAGTAGAAAACAGCAATCCAGAGGAATCCCACATTTATAAATTCTATTTTGAGTTGATGCTGCAACAGCCATTATAAAGATTTCAGAATCACAGAATCCTAAGGGTTGGAAGGGACCTCAGAAGACCAGCTAGTCCAACCCTCTTGCAAGAGCAGGGTAACCTAGAGTACATTCTTTGGAAGTCAATACAATGTGTTACATTATTATATACTATATCAAAATAATGTATTACACTTTCCCATGACTTCAGACCCAGATTGAGGGAGGAGCTGTGTAGGCAGGTACAGTTTCTGAAATACATTGGCCCTCAGTGATGGTTACCTACAACAGTAGCCAATTTAATCTTTCAGTTCCCTCTGTTTTTTCACCATGTTCTGCCTAGTCTTTGCTACCTTCTGCTTCACAGGTTTCATCTTTCCTACCCACCTTCAGCTGGCGTTCTGCATCTTTTCTTCCTAATCAGTAAAAGTAACTTGAAGACACATAGGGTGCCTTCAGTGTATTATGCTCTCATTTCTATGTAATGTGGGCCAGGCATATTATATTTATCACTTCTCAATCAGAACTCCAGTACTGTTCAGCTGGGAAGTTTATTAGACTTTGGGAAAACAGCCACTGTGCCCTTCTCCCTGTTGCACTTCTGTTTTCCATTGCATTTATGAGTGTGTATGTGTGGGGAGGGAGGAGCCATTTGTTTAATACTGACTGTGCTTGGCCAAACCAAGGACTTTTTTTTTTTTTTTGCCACCTGGACTGTACTACAGCATTTAAAACTCACTTTAATTTGTCCAATTCAGTCATCATACACTATTTTTTTCAAAACCTGTTGCAGTTGGCTGGTTTTTAGCTTTGCTTCTTAGGAAGTAGAAATATTCTTGGTGGCATGTACTGAAGTCCTGGTGTCTGTTGCTCAAGGCATTATTTAGTTGAGGCCACAGTGACTATGTGGAAGAAGCCAAGGTAGATGGAAGCCACAGTAGCCATCAAAGCTAAAGGATGAAAATTAAGTTCTCCTGGCAGTAGTGCCCTGCTTCACTTAAGACTGAATTAGTGCCAGCAGTGTGGCACATAAGGCCTTTACATGCTGGGAATAGAGAATTTGTTTAATATGAGTAAGCAAAGTCATTTTAAAAGGGTAATATAAGTAACACAGGGGTGTTGATATATCTGATACCTGAGAGCCTCTTACATAATTTTTTTTTCATGCAGTCTTCTGATTATATCTGTAATACCTTGGTTGTGGATACATGTATCCCTGTGAAATGCCTGGGAAGCAGGAATTGTTGGTCAGTTGCTGTATATCAGAAGTCGAGTACAGAAGAGTTAAGCAGTTTATGTGACCAAACAAATCAATGCCAAAACTGTGATTTAGGCCTAGCTCTTTCAAATCTTGTATTTAAATCCTAACCTGTCAACCTCTTCATGAGCATAGTGAAATATCTTTCATTCTATTGAGAAAACTGTGTCAGCAAATAGCCCTACCTCTGCAGCAGAGTATGTTTTTAATACAACAGACCTTTGTGATCTTGTAGGAGGCTCATCCAATGCTTTCAAAAATACTTCACACCCCCTGTCTCAAAATATAAACTCTTACTTCTAGACCAGTTAAAAAACATTGGGGTGCCCGCTGCTACCCTCCTTTTACTTGTTGGTCCCTGCTTTATCCATGTGTGTCAAGCTACATGATTACTCAATTACTTGAAATCCTACTATTGGCTCAAACACTGTCCTCTTTTCCTAATGCATTGTCTGACTGACTTCAGTAAATCTGCCTAATGATGATTTAATATGTTACTGTTTACAGACCTAGGCAGTCAGTGCATTTAATAAAGTTATTTAAACATTAGCAAAGTAGAAGTTACCTGAATAAATTCTATGCCAAGCAGTCTGATAGCATAAAACATTCTTGGTCTTTCATCCACTTGGTTACATTTGTTTTCTAAAGTACAGCTTTGAAAGTAGGTACATGGTTTCACTGCAGTACTGTAACATGCTAATGAAGTATATTGAATTATTCCCACTGAAGCTGGCCTCTTTGCGCTTTTACTTTCAATCCATTCCATTTATCATCTGCAGCATATTCCTATCTCTCCTATTACTCCCAAGTGTTTCTAAATCCCCATTTCTTCAGGTATCATCAGTCTAAATAATCCTGCATAATTGACAACTTTGTCAATAACTGGCAGTGGCAATTTACCAGAAAGCACAGTTTAATACCTTCCTTCTTTCAGCTTTCAGGAAGATAGATACACCTGATCTTTCTGTTCATTACTTCACGTGTCTCACTGTGTTTCCCCCTCATACCGTTTATTTGCATATGTAAAACTTGAACCAGTTGAGCCCCTTTTTAATTTTTTTTACTTCAACCTACTGCATTCCTCTCTTAATGCTTTTAGTCTTCATGTCAGGAGGATGATTCATTGCCATGTATTATAGCAGTGTGCTCCCCTGTCTCCTCCTGGGAACACAGTGCTTTACCTCCACATAAAGCTTCTCTTGGTTATTATTCTCTAGGAAGGCTGCTGCACTTGGGGCAAAATACTCTTAATGTAACCAAGGCACAATAAATAGTCAAAAAGCTGCTGAAGAAATTAAGTACTTGCCTGAAAGTAGGAGTCTGATATTTCTCTAAGGTACTGGCAATTCATTTCTTCCTAGCCCTTTACATATTAGCTTTTCAAGTTAGTGAGCCATGAAGAATTTTGCTTTCATTTATAAATGATGCATTTATTTGGTTTTGTATTGTTTCAAGAGGTGGGAAGTTAGTGTGATGAAGTAGTCTACCATACCATCTTACTGCAGCTCAAGGCTCAGTTTTTGGAATGTTTTAAATAACACTTTTGAGTTTCCAAGTCTGAACTAAGGCAGGTAGAAGGGGAAATTCACCAAGTATTAATTTAGCAGTTGGTCACTATAGAAACATGCTGTAATGAGAACAGTTAACCATGGACTTAAAGAGAAAAGAATGTTGGAATGAGCAGCAGAGGGTCAAAGTGTCATTTTGTGCTGCTCAGATAAGAGTTGTCTGCCTTAAAGCAATAACTGGGGTTATAAAATATAATTCTGGGGTGACTGTCATTAAGTTTCCTTTTTCCTCTTACCTAGTAGGTGTGCGGTGCGCATGGGGAGGGCTGCAGCACGTTGTTCCTTTGGCCACCTTTCACTGCTGTGGTGTTTTGCAAACCAGGATGCATTGAGGCATAACTTACAAAAACAATTCAGAGCTCTCAATACATGTTAGGACATACTTGGTGTCCATCTGCCTGAAAGCAGGTTGAATTTTCTAAACCAAATTATTTATATGGAGCCTTTGTTTACTGGTGCTACTTTCAGTAGCTTGTCTTAAAAGGTATGATGTTTTCTGCTTCTTTTCTGATATTCAGAAGGTCTGTGGGGTTAAATCTGATAGCGATGTTGCTGCACATGTTCAGCTCAAGCTGCCACCTTCATGACATCTCTGGGCCCTGGTTCACATGCCCCCTTGCTGCCTCTCGCATTCAGTTTTGCTGCTGTTGTTTCAGGTAAGTGCCCTCTAGCAGGACCAGGCTCTATGCAGTTGTTTCTGCTCTTCATTTGTCACATTAGCATTGTTGCTGACACTTATGTCCTTAGATGCTACTGCTTTTCTTTTTGCTGTTTCTTAGGCCTGACAGCTCTTTGAGGTGCATTCATTGTGTAAGTGGGGGGAGAGAAGGAGGGGAGGACCTTGTGATACAATCTTTGCAATGGCAGGGCAAACCTGTCCCTTTCACAGCTGCAGCAGCTCTATATAGCCTTCTGGTATTTGCCTCCTTTTGTCTTCAGTAAATCTGACAGCAATCAACTAGCACATATGTGAGTTCATGTTCCTGCTATGGGGAAAGATTGCTATTAGCTATTAGGATGCGCTTCTGAAAAGACAATTTTCTTCATGTTCTTATGTGCCTTTTTACTATGGAAGTTCAATCTGGTACTAATCAATCTGATAAGTTTATGGGTTATGGGGAGGA